TGAGTTTCATCTTCAGGATCTGGCCTTCTAGAGAGCAGTCAGGGTTGATCTCCTCTAGGACTGACTGGTTGGATCGCCTTGCGAAGGCAAGAGGGTGGGAGGGAGGGAGGGTGGGTGGAGGGAGGAGAAAGGAAGGAAGGAGGAAGGAAGGAAGGAGGGAAGGAAGGAAGGAGGGAGGGAGGGAGGGAGGAGAGATGTTAGAATAGGGCTTTGTTAAAATAAAAAATGAACACAGGAAGGGAAGGGAAAGGGAAAGGGAAGAGGAGGGCCTCTATGTATGCTTCTAACTCTAGAACTTTGGTACTTGCAGGGTCTACAAACAGTGCAAAGCTTCAGGCCAACAGATCCTGAATTATTTATCCCATCAACCAACAATATTTGGAAGCAAGACAAACGACTGGCAGAGAGAGACAAATGAGGCACCGCAGCAACATTTAGAGAATACGTCTCATGCGAACTGCAGAGTATCCGCACGTTTGATGCCATCAGCCCTGGGTAGAATTGCCAGCTTCCTAACGTGACCTTCTCAAACACCAGCGAGGAAACTCAAACTGGCACGGAAGCAGCCAATCTTGACCATGCTGGCAAGACTCCTATTCTTTCACTATGTAACTTCCCCTCCGTGTCTAAAGAGAGCTACGGCCTTTCTGACAGTTGCCGGAAAAAGATCAAGGATAAAGACAATGAACTCCCCGTTAGGCTTCCCTACGTTTAGAAAATATAAGAAGCCTCTCGGTTACAATAACAAGAAAGAGCAATTCGCAGGGTTATCTTCCCTTTTGATAAGGTTATGCCAATGCGCTGCCATCTCTCTCCCAAGAGCTCCGCTTCCCAATAATGGCACCCTTTCATCTTTTATCTCGATGATTGCAAACGGATGATTCGGTCGGCCTGCACCAGTTAGAATTTGGTGGGACTATCTTATCTTCCTGTTTGAGGGGCTGCCACAAAGAAGAGAAGGGGAGGGGGTCAGGTGGAAGGAACAGCTTGCCTCCAGAAGTTGTGGGTGCTTCATCCCTGGAGGTTTTTAAGAGAGGAGTGGCTGTCCAGTGTCTTCTTAAAAACTTCCAGGGATGAAGCATCCACAACTTCTGGTGGCAAGCTGTTCCACTGGTTAATTGTCCTCACTGTTAGGAAGTTTCTCCTTAATTCCAGATTGCTTTTCTCCTTGATGAGTTTCCGTCCATTGCTTCTTGCTCTGCCTTCTGGGGCCTTGGAGAATAATTTGACCCCCTCTTCTTTGTGGCAGCCCCTCAAATACTGGAATGCTGCAATCATATCCCCCACCCCCCCCCCCCAAGTCCTTCTTTTCTCTAGACTAGCCAAAGCCAAATCCTGCAACCGTTCTTCATATGTTTTAATCCAGATCTCAATGAATTGTACATTACAGCTCTTAGAAATCTCCCTTCAGGCAACATTGCAACAAAAACAATTTATGACATAGGTATTAATTGTGAGAGTTGAAGTTCACACGACTTAAAGCAAGGGAGGTTGAGAAATGATCTAGAGCAGGGGTCTCCAACCTTGGCAACTTTAAGCCTGGTGGACTTCAATTCCCAGAAGCTTTGCTGGCTGGGGAATTCTGGGAGTTGAAGTCCTCCAGGCTTAAAGTTGCCAAGGTTGGAGACCCCTGATTTAGAGAGCCCCAGGTCCCAGACTCTTAAGCCAAACTCTTAAGCTACACGCATTCTCAGCCGTGTGGTCCAGCTCCTAACTGCCATCTGCTGGGGAGACAAATACCATTTTCTGCAACCAGGATGGTGCTGAAGATATGAAAATCGACCTCAGCACTCTCCATCAAGTACAGGTAGTCTTCGAACATACGACCACAATTCAGCCCCAAAATTTCTGTTCTTAAAAGCGAGACATTCGTGAAGGGAGTTTTGCCCCATTTTACGACCTTTCCTGCCTCACTTGTTTAAGCGAATCACTGCGGTTCCTAAAACCAGTAACCCATTTTGTTAAGTGAAATCTGGCTTCCCTGTTGACTTGGCTTGTCAGAAGGTCGCAAAAGGGGATCAGCAACGGTCGTTAAGTACGAACCAGTTGCCGAGCATTAGGAATTTTGATCGCGTGACCCAAGGGGAGGCTGTCACGGTCATTAAGCGTGAAAAAATGGTTGTGTCACTTTTTTTCCAGTGCCGTCATAACGACCACCAAATGAAAGGTTGTAACTCAAGGACAACAAAGCACATTCTATTAAGGATTCTACTTGTGTTGTGGCCCGTCAGCGGCCTGTGCGGATTGTAGCTGATTTTGATAGCGAGGAGGCTGATGTGGTGCTGCGCCAGCAGCCTGCGCAGCTGGCACTCAAGTCAGACAATGAGGAGGCTGGAGAAGATGTGGTGCCAGAGGCGGGGATTCAGCCAGGGCCTTCAGAACCTCCAGAAGCTCCCTTAAGTGAAGAGGACGAAGAGGAGGAGCCTCTTGATGCACGGGCGCACAGAGCTGCCAAAAGGCAGGAGTGACTCCTCAGGAGGAGGTCTCCTCGAGAGTAAGGCTTGGGGCTAATTGGCCACTCCCTTAGCCTATTTAAGGAGGAACGCCAATTGCAGCAAGCTGTAGGGAACAACTTTAGTTCATTCTCCTTCGAGTCTGGATTCTCTGCAAAATGCTTCTGGGCTTTCTGCCAACCTTAGTAAGATTGTGATTACTTTATCTTTGGTTTCTTGTAGGCTGTTAAGAAAGTTTATTAACAGCCTTTGTTTGGAAAAGACTGAGCTATTTTAGTAAATTTAAGTTTTGTACAGACTTTGTGTGTGTTGTGTTCTTTGGGGTCTGTAGCTGGGGCAGAACAACTTGGCTGTTTTTCTCCAAGAGCTGGAAGATCAACACCGAACACAGATCCTTTCATTTTGACCGTCGCCAGCTTGCTTTGTGGTTTTACAAAACCAGATCTTTTGTACAACATCCCTTGGTCTGTTTTGGACCGAAAGCAAAGAGCTTTATCTTCCACGCCGTGTGATGGCCTGCAGAGCAGATCCTACTTTTTATCTGCTTGCACAACTGGATAGGCAAACATCTGTCAATATTTATGAAAACTCAACCCCGAAGGCCACCCTTTCGCAAGGCCACTTGGCACCTGGCTGCCACGGTGTTTCCAAACATGACCTTCCTTTACCTCCGAGCTTTGGACCGCAACGTTTCACAACAGCTATAAAAATGCTCTTCCCTCTCAGAAGACCGGAGTTACCAAGAGCCATGCAGCACCGAAAGGCCAAGCCAAAATATGAAGTGGCAGATCCGGCAATAATCTGTTGGGTGGCAAAAGATCTCCAGTGTCAAGTTTCGAGGTCGTCTCAAATAAATTGCATTTCAAACAAAGTCTTTGATGAAAAAAACTCCCATTTATTGAGCACAACATTCTAAATCTTGGCTCATCGTAGCCAACACTGACTTCCAGACCCAAAACTCTCCGTTTCCGTTCCCCACTCCCCTGCACTCATTGGCCATCTTCCAAGTCATTCTACCCCTAATCTACTGCTCCAGCTCAAAGGAATTTCTCCCCTCCCATCCCATCTCCTAGGGGATATTATCTCCAGGGAAAATAAGTAGGTGAAAAGTCAAACGTCCCTTTCCAGATGCCTCCGCTTCTCCTTCTTATGTCAGCACTAGAGTAAATGAAGCTTGAAGTGCTGACATCCAGATCTCCAGCTGCTACCTGTGGGGTTTTGAGTGATGGCCTCCTAAGATACTTGGCTCACTTGCTACCTGATGGCTATGGAGATTCTCAGTCCTCCAGGTCAGGGTTGTCCCAAAGGTGCTGTTTTTCAAGAGGCAACTGGACTTCCTTGTTTTTTTCTTTGAAGACGTTTCACTTCTCATCCAAGAAACTTCTTCAGCTCTGACTGGATGGTGGTTCTCTGGACTTGCTACCTAATCTTTTTGACTGAAGATACCCAGGTCTGGGAAGTTGCATACGCAGTACATTGAGTTGGATCATGTCCCCGAGAATACCGCTGCTTTCCAAACCCCAAATGCAACTTTACAAGAGGTTTTTAAAAAAATGTATGAGCAGCTGGTGGAGGGATGAAACTATGATTCTGATCACACACAAAAAAAGCAGCCCTGGAATTTTTAAGCCAGCTTTCCTCAATTTGGCTGTGCAGATGCGTAGACCTCAACCGAGTTCCTTTTCTCAAGTCAGTGAGATGTTAGTCAAGCCCACAAACCCAATAGAATAGAATAGAATTTTGTATTGGCCAAGTGTGATCGGACACACAAGGAATTTGTCTTGGTGCATACGCTCTCAGTGTACATAAAAGAAAAGATACGTTCATCAAGAATCATAAGGTACAACACTTAATGATAGTCATAGGGTACAAACAAGCAATCAAATCATACTAGGAAACAATAAATACAGAATAGAATAGAATAGAATAGAATAGAATAGAATAGAATAGAATAGAATAGAATAGAATAGAATAGAATAGTAGAGTAGAGTAGAGTAGAGTAGAGTAGAGTAGAGTAGAGTAGAGTAGAGTAGAGTAGATAGAGTAGAATAGAGTAGAATAGAATAGAATAGAATAGAATAGAATAGAATAGAATAGAATAGAATAGAATAGAATAGAATAGAATAGAATAGAATCCTTTATTGGCCAAGTGTGATTGGACACACATGGAATTTGTCTTTGGTGCCTATGCTCTCAGTGTACATAAAAGAAAAGATACGTTCGTCAAGCATCATAAGGTACAACACTTAATAATAGTCATAGGGTACAAATAAGCAATCAGGAAACAATATCAATAAAAATTGTAAGGATACCAGCAACAAGGTTACAGTCATACAGTCATAAGTGGGAGGAAATGGGTGATAGGAATGATGAGAAGACTAATAGTAGTGCAGGCTTAATAAATAGTTTGACAGTGTTGAGGAAGTTATTTGTTGAATGACTTAACCTGAACGAAAGACTTAACCAACCTGGCCACAGCTAATTAAATATATATATATATATATATATATATATATATATATATATATATATATATATATATATATATATATATATATATATATGTATTTACTTGCTTCTGAATCCTACAGCTCCATTGAACGCCTTTAACCTATGACCAAACTGGGAATTTTTAAGACTTTGCTAGCTCTGTAAGGCCGTCATCCCATAAGCTCAGTTAGCACCCTTCATGCCTTGCAAAAAAGTTGTACAGCCATTCCTCCACTTATGACCACAACTGAAGGCCAGAATTTGGTTTTAAGTCCTTGCAAGTCTTACGTTGAGTCACTATGGTTGTTAAGCAAATCGTAAGTTGTTAAACGAATCCCATGATCGTTGTAAAAAGTCCTAACCCAGCTTATCCAATGGATGGGCTTTTTTTTTCCTGCTTTTTGCCAGATCACATGACTGTGGAACTTTGCAACCTGTTGTAAATGCAAGCCAGTGGCCAGGGGCCCCAAATGCGATTACACGATGATGCTACAGCTATAACTTTGGGGATGAGTTGTAAGTAACTTTTTCCCAGTCCATCGTAACTTCAAATTGTTGTTAAGCGACTGATCGTCAGTGGAGAATTAATTACCTATCGCGGGCCTGGCACCAAGGATTAAAATGAAAAGGTCTGTGATATTCTTATTTATCTATTTATTTATAAATTTATAGGCCGCTCATCTTACCACAGGGTAGTTCTTTGACAGCAGTTGTCCTGGTTTTGGGGGAGGGGAAGAGGGACGAGTTATTGTTGTCGTTTTTTAATCTGTTTAATGTACTCAGGGGCATGTGAATAAACTCTGGGTCAACATACGTGCCTCTTTGTTTCATTCTTGACACTCTGATTTTTATCTGACAGGTTGCTGACCCTTCCAATGGACAAAGATCAAAGAAGAAATAAGGTAAGCTTGGCTCCCTTTTTTCCTAATCAATCCCCTTTTCTCGGTACTCCCGTAACAAGTGGTTGATTGTGAATTTGGGAGTGTTTTCATATGATTGATCCTCTTTCTCGGTAAAGGAATTCCTGGGCGTCTCCACCTCTATTCACCACCCCACAAAACAGCCCCAAATCAACATGCTAAGTACATCCTGTGTTCTGGCAGAAGCACCACACTGACGTTGTGTCTCAGGCACTGTTTGTGTGTCTCCTTTGATGTCCGCATTCCTGGCACCCTGAGCCCATCAGAGCAAAGGGCAAGTTATCCCGAGGGTCACTTCCCCAGACAATATGGGGCCTTGGGGTTCCCCAAGCATCGTGAGGCTCATCCAAAAGGCCTGGGGGATGGGGGCTCCCTTGATTCCAGCAGCGGTTAGCAGAAAGGCACCTGGCATGGCAGAGGTAGGTTAAAGGCATCTATGGCGAGCTGCCAGTTCAGGAGGCGAGCTTGGTGGGAGGTTGACAGAGAGGCACCTGCTTGAATCCACCCATCTCGGTCCCCTTCTCTTCTCAAGGGCTTTCCAAAAAAAACACCTCTAGAAGCCTGAAGTGTAGACAAAGCCCAACCCAGAAGTGTAAACGAAGTGCAAAATTTCAGGCTGAAACCAGAATGGACGTTATCCAAAAGAAGCAACTCAGTGACCCACTGGTGGTGCATCGTAAGAGGACCTAAATGCATAGAGTTTGTAGAAACGTACAAACATAATAAACTGATGGGGAGCAGGGGAAAGAGTAGAGTAGAGTAGAGTAGAGTAGAGTAGAGTAGAGTAGAGTAGAGTAGAGTAGAGTAGAGTAGAGTAGAGGAGAGGAGAGGAGAATAGAAGAGAATAGAATAGAAGAGAAGAGAAGAGAAGAGAATAGAAGAGAAGAGAAGAGAAGAGAAGAGAAGAGCCGAGGTGGCGCAATGGTTAGAATGCAGTACTGCAGCTACTTCAGCTGACTGCTAGTTCAGCGGATCAAATCTCACTGGCTCAAGGTTGACTCAGCCTTCCATCCTTCCGAGGTGGGTAAAATGAGGACCCAGATTGTTGGGGGCAATATGCTATTTAATATACTGTCTTTGGTGTAAGCCGCCCAGAGTCCTCGGAGAGTAGGCGGCATAGAAATATGACTAATAAATAAATAAATAATAGAACACGGAATAGAACAGAACAGAACTGAACAGAATAGACTGAAAGGGATCTTGGAGGTCTTCTAGTCCAGTCCCGTTCAAGCAGGAGAACCTATAGTAACTATAATACCTATAACCTGGTAATCCATTGAATCTGTTCTTTGAGAATGGGTGGGGATTTTTTGGCTCGTTTTAGTTTTCTTTCTAATTTATCTATTTATATTTTTATTTACTTATTCGTTTATTGTTTTACTTATTTACTTATTTAATTTTAGTCCAATGATGGAAATGTGTTTATCCCAAACGTGTTTAAATTCAAGTTACTGAGGAATGACCCACAACTACCATGATCCCCTGGGAGTTTGGTTCCGAGCTTCCGCTACTCTTTCTGTAAAACAAGAGGCAAGCTGGCTTTTTCCCAGTTTTCCTTTTCCCGATCCACCCCTTCCCAGCTTCACTGAGTAAAATTCCACGAAAAGCGGGAGAGCCAAAGAATTGAGGCCTTTGTGCTGGAGAAGACTCCTGCGGGTCCCTTAGACTGCAAGGCGATCCAACCGGTCAGTCCTAGAGGAGATCAACCCTGACTGCTCTTTAGAAGACCAGATCTTGAAGATGAAACTCAAATCCTTTGGACACCTAATGAGAAGGAAGGACTCCCTGGAGAAGAGCCTAACGCTGGGAACGATGGAGGGCAAAAGAAGAAGGGGACGGCAGAGAACGAGGTGGCTGGATGGAGTCACCGAAGCAGTCGGTGTGAGCTTAAAGGGACTCCAGAAGACGGTAGAGGACAGGAAGGCCTGGAGGAACGTTGTCCATGGGGTCGCGATGGGTCGGACACAACTTTGCAACTAACAACAACAAACCTGCAGGTTGGAATCACTTCGGCTTCAGCAGGCCCCGTTCCAACAGCAAGTCTCTGTTTTTTCCACAATGGTCGAAATGTCTGCCATGGCCCCTCGGCCTGTGTGACCAGAAAAGCAGGGAGGTCAATTGTGGTTGAGGTTGAGTTCTACCTGTAACGTTATCTTTTCACTTCTCGCACTAATGGGATTAGAAGGAGAGGCACACCGACCTTCGTCTCCACAAACCAGTTTCTTCACTATGCAAGGGATCTCGACGTAGCCGAGTTCTTTCAGCTGCCCCACCTGCCGAGCCGTGATGGGGTGCTCCCACATAAGGGTGTTCATGGCAGGGCAGAAGAGCAACGGTTTGCTCATGTCCCAAGCACGGATGACGCACGTCTGCAGAGAAAGGCAAAGCCTGAGGAGGAAATGGCCACCAATGGGGACCTGACCACAAGGGGAATGCAGTCAGAACCTTGGACAGAGGAAGGGAGGCTGAGGTTGGTTAATTTATAAAATAAACCAAAAAGTATTGGAAGGTGCTCCAGTAACAGCCTGGGGCCATTTGTAGTCTCAAGGGGTCTAGAGAGGAGATGGAGGGGGGGAGGACGACAAACAAATGATGGGATGTGCGTCATTACACCATCACTCAAAGAACTCAATTGACATCCTTACGTCAAAGACCAGATAGAGGACAGAATAGAATAGCAGAGTTGGAAGGGACCTTGGAGGTCTTATAGTCTAACCTCCTGCCCAGGCAAGAAACCCTACACCACTTCAGACAAATGGTTATCCAACATCTTCTTAAAAACTTCCAGTGTTGGAGCATTTACAACTTCTGGAGGCAAGTCATCCCACTGATTAATTTCTCCTTAGTTCTAAGTTGCTTCTCTTCTTGATGAGTTTCCACCCATTGCTTCTTGTCCTGCCCTCAGGTGCTTTGGAGAATAGCTTGACTCCCTCTTCTTTGGGGCAGCCCCTGAGATATTGGAACACTGCCATCATGTCTCCCCTGGTCCTTCTCTTCACTAGACCAGCCATGCCCAGTTCCTGCAATCGTTCTTTGTATGTTTTAGCTTTCAGTCCCCTAATCATCTTGGTTGCTCTTCTCTGCACTCTTTCTAGAGTCTCCATATCTTTTTTAGAAGGAATGGCCTTGAAGGACAGGAAGAAGAGTTGAGGCCACTATCAGATAAAAGAGATCTGAGTCTGGAGCAAGAAGGTAACATGAGTAAACGTTTCAGACCAGCCAGCGTATTTCTCATGAAGATAAAGTAAGGGAGGATGCAAGCACTTTCAGATTTGCCATAGCTTTGCAATGAAGCAGCACTGACCTATGTGATATTCAGTTTCCTACACCACAGCTAGTCCTCAACTGATGACCACAACCGAGCCCAAAATTTATCTTTTTTAAGTGAGACATTTGTTAAGTGAGTTTTGCCCCATTTTCATGACCTTTCTTGCCACAGTTATGTGAATCATTGGAGTTGTTGAATTCGTAACATGATTGTTAAGTGAAACCAGTTTCTCCATTGATTTTGTCTGTCAGAAGCAAAATCTGATCCCGGACACTGCAACCGTCATAAATATGAACCAGTTGCCAAGACTCTGAATTTTAATCCTGTGACCATGGGGCTGTTGCATTGATCCTAAGTGTGAAACAACGGTCATAAGTCACTTTTTTCAGGACCGTTGTAACTTTGAATGGTCACTGAACAAACTGTTGTAAGTTGAGGATTAGCTGCGCTCTATCTTGAAGAATTGGCATATCACGATGATGTAATGGTATCATCTGTGCACCCAACATGCTCTTCATATCCTCATGGTTTATACAGGTGCTATTATTGCAGAAGGTTATGAAACATCAGCTTATCACATGTCTCAATGAGGAAGAGCTGGGATTAACAGTGGAGCGCCTCGCTCCAGTAACTCACCAGTAAGTTGTCACAAATGCCATTTGCAATTTTGGCAAGGGTGTTTGCATCCAGAGGAGCCACCAGCATGAGGTCAGCCCAGCGCCTCAAGTCAATGTGTAGCACAGGGTCGGTGCGCTTTTTCCACAGCTGAGGACAAAGGTACTGCTTCAATTAATGTAATTCACCCAGCATGCTTAATTGCATTCTACATAAATACAGTCCAAGTCACTAAACTTTCCTACTGATCTTCCTAGGCTCAGTAAAATGAACTCAGAAACAACCATGTTATCACAATTCAAACAGTGCAAGATATAAAAACATACGGATAGTTTGCTGCTGGCCTCCAAAAACAACTAAATGCCCGCAGTTAGAACATATTAAGCTCATTCTACACAGTTTATGAACCAGAGTACAAATAAAAGTTCCTTAGCCATAAAGGAAAAGCTAAAACTGTTTGAACGATGCTGACCTGCCATTCGTCGGAGTCGCTGTAGATTCTTACAGGTATCTCTTTGGGTTTATAGAAGTGTTTTGCATTTTCTGTTGTCACCACCAGAACTTCCAGCTAAAAGAGAAGAACAGTGGTATGAATGAGGGGTCTCTAAAGTGGACCAATGAATAAAAACAATGAAAAACTGCTCACTCCAGGTATCTTCAGAAGCTCTGCCACCAAAAGAGGCAACTTTAGCGCAGCCACACTCCCAGTTACCCCGACCAGGATGTGGGCATTCTTCTCTGAAGCCACGGGGCAGATTGGTGGCAGAGGAGACGCCGCAGCCTCCATGATCAACACCAGACAGCAATCCTTTTTTCACCTGCAAAACAAGAAAACATGAGAACTACTGTTCCAAATTAAATGCCTCTGTATTGCATTTGGTCAATTGCAGGACTTACTGGTTAGTTTTATGCTCCAAAGCTATGCTTCACCTAGAGACGCCTCATGGGGGACATGGGCAGCATGTATGTATGTATGTATGTATGTATGTATGTATGTATGTATATTAGATATATATAGATATCGTTTCAGATACATTAGATAGATAGATAGATAGATAGATAGATAGATAGATAGATAGACAGACAGACAGACAGACAGACAGACAGACAGATAGATAGATAATGATATAATTGTGATAGATAGAGAGAGAGAGAGAGAGATGATATTGTTGTGGAAAAATTGAGACTGAACAACATTCCTGGGTCAGCCAGAGTCAGTTTATTGCGCAAGGTTCAGAGCCAGATTTGTACCTGAAACTTTGAACAAGGAAAGAGCTCTGATACAACTGTTTTTATACATTTCTAAGACAAAGGATTCGGTGAGCTCATACAGTTTTCCATATATGGTTAACATGAGCTCATGCATCTTCCATATATGGTTAACATACACTTGTTATATGATAATTGATACACTTCCTAATTACTAAACCATTACTTGCTAGTTTATAAGATTATCTTAGCTACACAACTTTTCCTTAAGTGCTGTGGTTGCTAATGGGAGATTTACTGCTGTCCTTGGGTAATAAGAGGTAATAAGTGACTCTTTGTTTCCTGTGCCTGTCTTTGTGTATTTGACAGTGAGGTCACTCAGAGGGGTTCCATATGGCTCTCCTTCCGTGACAGCTAGGCCTCATCAGAAGATTTATTACCACTAATGGGGTTTAGCTGCTTTTAATGTAATCTCCAAACAAGCACTTTTCTCTCTTATAATAATGTGAATAGAGCGGGTCCTTTAGAGTTCATGTAGCTGACTCTGTATGATTCCTACTTTATTCACATTGATATGATATGATATGATATGATATGATATGATATGATTGTGATATATAGATATAATTGTGGTAGGTAGGATAGGATAGGATAGGATAGGATAGGATAGGATAGGATTTAGATAGATAGATAGATAGATAGATAGATAGATAGATAGATAGATAGATAGATGATATAATTGTGATAGATAGATAGATGATGTAATTGTGATATAGATATAACTGTGATAGATAGATAGATAGATAGATAGATAGATAGATAGATAGATAGATAGATAGATAGATAGATAGATGATATAATTGTGATATATAGATATAATTGTGATATATAGATATAATTGTGATAGGTATCTACATAGATAGATAATTGTGATATAGACAGATAAAACGCTTCTCCAACTCAGCAGCAAACCCAGCTGTTTTTCAAGTGCCACATGGGGATTTTCAGGGGCAAAATAAACCCAACCAGGCCATATTTTTATCAGGCCAAGCATAGAACGAGAAAAACCCTGTGGATTGTGGGGGGGAAACCCCAAGTGAGAGCCACGTCTGGAAAGGCTCAATCTTTGGCCAGCCACGAAGCTTCATTGGGGGAAGTAATCGCTCGTTCTTGCAGGTTGGCCTACCTTACAGGGAGGGTTTGGAGTGGAGGGGGTGGAACTGGCCTTCAGCTTTCCCTTCCTTCAGAGTCTAAGATCCGATATAAAAATAAATATAAAAGTCGAACATACGCGTCCCAGGATAATGTTGCAGGATCCAACCTGAATCGGTATAACATACAAAAATTACATTTTAAAAAAAGGGAAGGGGGGGAAGTGATAAGGGTACACAACCCACGGATCAAAAACTTCCGGCCGGCGGATGTCAATAAAGACTGTACCTTCCGGTTCTTTCTGGATCATAGCGATCACGGCGGCTTTAAACGCGGCTCGACTTCCGTTTCCTTTCCGAAGAGCGAAGTGGCTTTGACGATGGTTTTCTAACGGCTAGACGAGCTCTTCGGACCCCACTTCCGGGCAGGGTGACCATAGATTGGATTCCTAGACTCATACGCAACTCGCTTCTCCCTCCCTCCCTCCCTCTTCAGGAGGATAGGCTCATGGCAAGCGATGCCCAAAGTCAGAATTTTGAGTTTTTAGTTTTAGAAGGTGGACAGCAGAGCAAACACACGATTTGACAGTTAAGATAGGAGACTCTGATTTTTAAAAAAAATTATATTTCTTCAAGGGCTCTCCTGATGCCAAATTTGCTGGAAACCCACTTCGCATTACACATTTTGTAACTTGGAAACTCTAAGCAATGTTTTTCAAACTTAGCTATAATGTGAATGATACAGGATCAGCTATATGAACACTGAAGGGCCCTCCTTATTCACATTATTGTAAGAAAGAAATGTGCTGGTTTGGAAGAACAATACTTGTATGGAAGATTACACTAAATCAGCTAAATTACATCCTGGGTAATATATATATATATATCTTCTGAAGAACCTAGCTGTCAAGAATGTAAGGACATCCATATGGAACCAGAAGTTAAAGGAAGCCATAAATCTACGCATCAGCGGATACAGAACTAAGGAGGATGTTTAGCTAAAATTATCTCATGTACTATAAATTAGGGCAGGAATTTAGTAATTAGGAAATGTCAATTATCATGTAACGGATGTATGTTAACCATATATGGAAAACTGCTGTGCTAGCAAAATCCTTTGTCTTGGAAAAGTATAAAACAGGGGTATTAGATCTCTTTGCTTGGTTCAGAATGGCAGATACAAATCTGGTTCTGAAACTGCGCCAATAAATTGACTCTGGCTGACCAAGGAATGTTGTTTGGTCCCATCATTCTACAACAGCTAGGGGTGGATTTCAAACTCCCAGAATTCCCCCTGCCAGCAAGGAATGGCTGGGGAATTCTGGGAGTTGTGGTTCGCTGATCTGGCCAAGTTTGAAAAACACCGCTCTAGACTCCTGTGCAGTTTTGTCTTGTTGGCAGTAGAAAGTCCAAAATAAGTTTTTTGCATGTTTCTATTTTAATAATGGATTTTTGCTTTTGAAAATGTACTTTTGTCAAAACTGCAACTGGTCGAGACAAGAAAACCACCTAAGCGATAAGACTTACCAAATAAAAGACTCTTATCATCTGCGTAAAACTCTGCGAATCCGCTCACATGTGGTTTAACTGTGGCTTATATAAACCAAGTTCCCCCTTCTCACTCGGATACCTCAACAGCCTTTCTAGCTTCTTCATACAATTCCCTCACAGAATTTTCATCAGAGTTTCCCGACGTCACTACCATCTGCAATCCTGCATGTGTTGACATGCCTGTTTCAGGTCTAACCAGTGGTGAAATCCACATTTTTTTACTACCGGTTCTGTGGGTGTGGCTTGGCGGGCATGGTATGGCTTGGTGGGCATGACAGGGGAAGGATACTGCAAAATCCCCATTCCCACCACACTCCAAGGGAAGGATATTGCAAAATCCCCATTCCCTCCCCACTCCTGGGGGAAGGATACTGCAAAATCTCCATTCCCACCCCACTCCATGGGAAGGATACTGCAAAATCCCCATTCCCTCCCCACTCCTGGGGGAAGGATAATGCAAAATCCCCATTTCCTCCCACTCCAGGGGAAAGATACTGCAAAATCCCCATTCCCACCCCATTCCAGGGGGAAGGATACTGCAAAATCTCCATTCCCACCCCACTCTGAGGCCAGTCAGAGGTGGCATTTGCCGGTTCTCCGAACTACTCAAAATTTCCGTATACCGGTTCTCCAGAACCTGTCAGAACCTGCTGGATTTCACTCCTGTCTCTAACCCGTCTGCCACGGAAAGGAGGAAAAAAAGGCATTTTATTGATACAGTTTATTTTATTCATTAATTTTCCAGGTTGACACTGTTTCATCAGGGACAGACATGGAACAATTGTATAATCACATGTGGTCAGATGTTTTAAAATCCCCCCCTTCCTTTTCCCATTGAGATATCTATTTTTAAATTAAAAAAAAAGATTGCACGGTGAATTAGATACAGCGTCAGGATTGTGATGGCCACGGCTATTCTGTGACACAACTATTCTCCACCAAAGGAGAACAGGCCTCTACAGTGCTAGAATAAAAGGAGCCCATTTGGAATCGATGCAAATATACAGAACCTCCTTTAGCATAATGACAACATTCTCAGCTTCTCCCATCAGACCGTTGCGATCAGCACACGGTCCAGCAAATAAAAGCAATCTTGCGAATCGAAAAATGTACAGGAGCGTTTCTCCACCTTGTTCAAGGTTGAGATGTGTGGATTTCAACTTTCGGAATTCCAGTGAAGTTGTTTTCTTGGAGGCGTTTCGTCACCTGGTAACATCATCATTTCTTGACGTCCGCCATCCCCGTCAGAGCCATCCCCCCCCCCACCAACACCGTCAGAGCACTGACGACGTTATCTAGTTGGGTCAGGAAATGTTTGCAAAAAAACGACAGCCAAGCTCAGAGAGCACCAAGGACCCCCCACAATGCTACTTTAATTGACATGCGTTGGAGGGGTTTGTACAGATTAACAGAGTTGGAAGGGACCTTGTAGGCCATCTAGTCCAACCCCCTGCCCAAGCAGGAGACCCTACACCATTTCTGACAGATGGCAGTCCAGTCTCTTCTTTAAAGCTTCCAGTGGTGAAGCTCCCACAACTTCCAAAGGCAACTTCTCTTCCATGGGTTGATTGTTCTCACGGTCAGAAAATTTCTCCTTATTTCTAGGTTGAATCTCTCCTTGATCAACTTCCATCCATTATTTCTTGTCTGGCCTTCAGGCGCTTTGGAAAATAGCTTGACCCCCTCCTCTCTGTGGCAGACCCTCAAATACTGATTCAACTAGAAGTAAGGAGAAATTTTCTGACCATCAACCAATCGAACGGCTTGCCTTTGGAAGTTGTGGGAGCGTCATCGCTGGAAGCTTTCAAGAAGAGATTGCTGTCTGAGATCAACACAGCTGCTTAAAACAAGACAGCGTAATTGCACCTGAGTGCTCCCCTGATCAACAGATGCCCAATACAGTTTGGTAGACTTGATAGATCCTGGAAAGAAGTAGAATCACGCAAGGGAACCAAACAGAAAAGTCTGCAAGTGAGGAAAACCAGAAATCAAGATGCGAGATAGGATAAAAGGAGGCACAGCTTTGCCAATTTATTTGCAAAGTTGCTTTGATTTATTTATTCATGTATTTATTTTGAAACACACACACCCCTTCCCCGCAGATACTTTTGAAAGGAGGGGAGCAAATATTCTGCAAGGAAGTCAGAGTAAAAAGTGTTAATCGCTTGGCTGCTTCCAAAGCAAAATGAATCTGCTTTTTAAAAGTTGTTTCCCCCAAAATAAGATATCCCCTGATAATAAGCCCAATCGGGCTTTTGAGCGCATGGCAATAAGGCCAAGCGCTTATTTCAGGGTTCAAAAAATATATATATAAGACAGGGTCTTATTTTCAGGGAAACACGGTATCATCAACTCTGATCAATCGAGTAAGCAGAGGCTCGTAAAATGGAGCGACCTAGGAAAGGAAACAGGATAGAGACAATGAAAAGATCCAAGACAGAGTAGGCCGTCTTGGCTTCCATCTTGATAAACACGGCCTTCCCGGGAATGTGAAATAAGCCCATATTTAGCCAGGTTTCTAGCTGCTGGGTTTATTGCTGTGGCTTTTAGAGAGAGAAAGAGGAGGAGGAGGAGTGAAGGGTTATGAAGCCAGCGACCCACCATACCGCAGGGAGAATCGGCGACAATCGAGAATGGGTGAAATGCTCAAGGCTTCCCTCTCGTAGAGGCGAAGAAGACCTCTTCCCTCCAGTGCTCCGATGCGGCTAGGAAAATCATGATCACCACAAGAAATGTCGAAAAAACACCACCGTACACAGTTTCACCAAAAAAAAAATATAGGAGAAATGAGCACACACACATACAGGCACCACAGCACAACACAACTGTCCTGCAGGGCAATGCGTTTCTTCTTCAGAGGAGGATGAGGAGGAGAAGGAGAGAGAAGACACCACAGGAGGCCCAAGGACAGGAAGAGGAAGAAGAATCAAATTCAGAGATTTTTCTCGTGGAAGCGTCTCTCCCGCCATCTTGCCACCTCCCCTTCCCACCCCACCCCACCCCAGCAATAAAGATGGTGGGATTCATCCCTTGGAAACCTACACAAGATACCCGCACCCCACAACACACGCCTTCTTCGTTCCTTCCTTTGCCCACCTAAAGCCAACTTCTTCTGGGGGGGGGTTTCACCTCGGACGGGGGAGTTCCTGCAACTTCTCATATGTCGTTGGGGTAGTTATAGTTAGGGGTGGCTGAATACTGCGTTTCCTGCTGCATCATGGCGTTGTGAGCGGCGCCCACGGCCACGTTTTGTGCCGCCTGCTGGACCTGAGGGTTTTTCCAAGCGCCGGTGGTCCACTCCTCCTGAGCTTTGCTGAAACTGCCGCCGCTCCCTCGGTAAAATTTGTGCACCTGCAGGGGAAGAAGAGAAGAAGGGATAGATCCTGATTGTGTGGGTTGCCTCTGCAACACTAAGATAATAGGGTAGGGTAGAGTAGGGTAGGGTAGAGTAGAATAGAATAGAGTGGAATTTAGAAGACAATATAAGAGAAGAGAAGAGAAGAGAAGAGAAGAGAAGAGAAGAGAAGAGAAGAGAAGAGAAGAATAGAAAGAGAAGAATAGAATAGAATAGAAATTTAGAATAGAATAGAATAGAATAGAATAGAAATTTAGAATAGAATAGAATTTAGAAGACAAGACAAGACAAGATAAGATAAGATAAGATAAGATAATAATAGGAATAGAATAATAGAATAGAATAGAAATTTAGAATAGAGTAGAATTTAGAAGATAAGATACGATAAGAAAAGATAAGATAAGAATAGAATAGAATAGAATAGAATAGAATAGATAGAATAGAATAGAATAGAATAGAATAGAATAGAAATTTAAAATAGAGTAGAATTTAGAAGACAAGACAAGATAAGATAAGATAAGATAAGATAAGATAAGATAAGATAAGATAAGATAATAATAGGAATAGAATAATAGAATAGAATAGAAATTTAGAATAGAGTAGAATTTAGAAGATAAGATACGATAAGAAAAGATAAGATAATAATAGAATAGAACAGAATAGAATAGAATAGAATTAGAATTAGAATTAGAATTAGAATTAGAATTAGAATTAGAATTAGAATTAGAATTAGAATTAGAATTAGAATTAGAATTAGAATTAGAATTAGAATTAGAATCAGAGGAGGAGGTGGCATGGGAGTTAGGATCAGCATCAAGGCAACCTGAGAGCTCCGAGAGGGAAGAGGGAATGGAGCTGGCAGAGAGAGACAGACAGACAGACAGACAGACAGACAGAGAGACAGAGATGGAGACCGAGACGGAGCCTGGGCTGGCCGTCAGCCCCCAGGTCTGGAGGTGGCTGATGAGGAAGAGGAGGAAAGCTGGGTCCAATGCCTGACATGGAGATGCCAGAAGGCAGAGGAGAGGAGAGCAGTGGAAATCTATGGGCCAGTCCTTGGGATAGAAGAGTCACTGCTGCTATTGTATAAAGTATAAAGGCTTTCAGTGGATAAATTAGTTTTCTTACCATACTGAGAGCAATGAAGGAGAACACAGACATGGCTGTGAAGAGAATGGTGGGAATCAGCATCACGACAGCCGAGCCCACGTTGGTCCCAAAGAAAGAGATCGCTGCAATCCAGCCACTGTAGCAAAAGAAAAGTGGGGGGGGGGAGAAAAAAGACATTTTAGAGAATTTGGGGTCATTCTCCCCATCGCTCAAGGGCGGCTTATTCTGCCTGGATCTGTTTAATCTTGAGATGCTCAGGATCTTCTTATCGAAATGAAGGATATTTCAAAGCAAGCAAAAGAAAAGATGCTCCTTTAAAATACAAGACTGCAAGGTGTTCCTTAAAAAGATTTTTTTTAACAAAAAAAAAATCCTGTCTATATTATTTTTATAAATAACTAAGGTGGCCATCCTTCCTAATGTTCCTTCCTCCTCCTATTTTCCCCATAACAACAACTCTGTGAGGTGGGTTGGGCTGAGAGAGAGGGACTGGCCCAAAGTCACCCAGGTGGCTTTCAGGTATAAAGCAGGACTAGAACTCCCAGCCTCCTGGTGATTGGCCTAAAGTCACTCAGTCAGCTTTAATGCTTAAGGCAGGACTAGAACTCCCAGCCTCCTGGTGATTGGCCTAAAGTCACCTGGTCAGCTTTAATGCTTAAGGCAGGACTAGACTTCCCAGCCTCCTGGTGATTGGCCTAAAGTCACCCAGTCAGTTTTAATGCTTAAGGCAGGACTAGAACTCCCAGCCTCCTGATTTCTAGCCTGGCGCCTTCACCACTAGATTACCAGCCTTGCAAAAAAAACAAAAAAAAGCAAAAAAAAAACCTGGCATCATTTCACCAAATCCATCAGAAAGTTTTCTGCCCATTTTTTTCCAACCGGGAACCTGCAGCAAGTGCTGGTTCCAACAACTCCCACAAATGCCGATAAAACACCGGACGGATGAAATGAGTGAAACCACGAACCAGCAACGATCGTCCCGCTTACCAAACTCCCCAGCCAGGGATGCCGATGGCTTGAATGATGCTGATCACCAACTGAGCCATGAAAGTGAAGAAGAAAGCCATGAAGCTGAAGGAACTGTCCGTCCTGCAAAAAAAGAAGAAGGAAGGACCGTCTACTCCAGTGTTTCTCAACCTTGGAAGCTTGAAGATGGGTGGACTTCAACTCCCAGAATTCCCCAGCCAGCGCTACCCATCTTCAAGCTACCAAGGTTGAGAAACACTGGTCTACTCAAACCTCAGCAGCTTCAACTCCCAGAATTCCCCGGAGAGGCAGAGGCACTGCAAGGATCGCTGGTTGCTGCCATCCGATTCAGTTTTTCATGCAGTGCCCTGTGCCTCAGCTTTGTTTACTAATATTATTATTATTATTATTATTGGTTAATCTTTAGTGAGATTCACAGCCTTTGAGGCTGGTTAATAGCTCAGCAGCTCGAGTCCTAACCAAGGACCTAGGAACTGTTAAGGTATCGTCGGAGGATGTAAGCTGTTCCGAATAAGGTGGTTTTTTGTAGAGTCAAAATGTTCAAGTCCGGCAAATTTAGAATTTCTAAATAGTGGGGTAGCCCTTTGGGTATTGCTCCAAGGGCTCCAATTACAATCGGGACAACACACGATTTCTTTTTCCACAGTCGCTCAACTTCAATTTGCAAGTCCCGGTACTTTGTGATTTTTTCCTTGCTGCTTATCTTCAATCCATGCATCACCAGGTATTGCAATGTCAATGAACTATACATTACTATTATTATTATTATTATTATTATTATTATTATTATTATTATTATCTCTTTTATTCATTAAACGTGAAACTCAGTCAACCGAACATTTAAAAATGACCGAGTTTCATGTTTAATGAATAAAAGAGATAATAATATGAAAACAAAGCTGAGGCACAGGGGACTGCATGAAAATCTGAACTGGTTGGCAGCAATTCAGAGATCATCATCATCATCATCATCATCATCATTATTTACTTTATTCATTAAACATGAAACTCAGTCAACTGAACATCCAAAAATACATCACAAATACCAGTGACTGGTGCTAATGGTTGATATGGGTTGTTACCAGCGTCCTAGGTATCAACCAAGTACCTTCTTAAAATGCATTATTATTATTGGTTAATCTTTAGTGAGATTCACAGCCTTTGAGGCTGGTTAATACCTCAGCAGCTCGAGTCCTAACCAAGGACCTAGGAACTGTTAAGGTATTGTTGGAGGATGTAAGCATTATTATTATTATTATTATTATTATTATTATTATTATTATTATTATCTTTTATTCATTAAACATGAAACTCAAGTCAACTGAACATTTAAAAATGTGCCACAAATACCATTGACTGGCGTTAATGGTTGATACGGGTTGCTGCCAGCATCCTAGGTATCAACCAAGTATCTTATTAAGATATATGATGTTCCAATTATTATTATTATTATTATTTGTTTACCCCCTTGCAAGGAAGAGAGATTGCTTAAACAAGCCATCTTTTCCTAAACTGATATACTCCCCAAGTAGCAGGACTCTAAAAAAATGCCAAGGACGATTTAACAAGCTCAGCTCTGTGACCTTAATTAGTTGATTAGATCTCTCCGGTCAGCTCCCAACTTGTGCCTGAAACTGACCAGGCCTTAATCGGTTTCTCACCAAAAGCTTCTGTTGTCAGGCTGCAGTCAGTTTTGTTCTCCATGCACACACATAAATGGATTTTTTTTTTTTTAATATTACAGTTTATCAGTGCTGTGTGGTGAGTGGTGGCTAACCCAGGTAGTCACTAAACGAGGAGTGGCTGTAAGGAGGAGCTACCGGGGGAGGGGAGCAGACGCATCATTGCAGAAAAAGAAGGGAGGAACGGAAGACAAGATCCCGCCCTATCACTTACTTGAAAGCTTTGTAAATAGGTCTAAACCAGCAGACGTAGGAGCAGGGTGTAAAGAGAATAAGCCAAAGGATTGCCAGTCCAAAGTTAACGGCTCCACCGCCTCCAATCAGCCATGCGAGACAACCGATCAGATTGACTGCCAAGGTGATACTATTCACTGTAGACACAGTTATACAAAGAGAGAGAGAGAGAGTGAAAGTGAAAGTGAGAGAGAGAGAGAGAGAGAGAAGAGAAAGAGAAAGAGAAAGAGTGAAAGAGAGAGAAGAGAGACAAAATGAGAGAGAGAGAGAGAAAGACAATGAAAGAAAGGAAGTGAAGGAGAGAAAGAGAGAAAATGATAGAGAGAGATGGGGAGAGAGAGAGAAAGTGAGTGAGAGAGAGAAAGTGAGAGAGAGGAGAGAAAGAGAGAGAGAAAAAGAAAGTGAGTGAGAGAGAGAGAGAGAGAGAAAGGGAGAGAGAAGAGAGAGAGAGAAGAGAAAGAGAGAGGGAAAGAGAGAGAGAGAAGGGAAAGAGAGAGGGAAAGAGTGAGAGAGAAGAGAAAGAGACAAAATGCGAGAGAGAGAGACAGAAAGAGAGAGAAAGAAAGTGTGAGAGAGAGAAAGTGAAAGAGAGAGAAGAGAAAGAGAGACAAAATGAGAGAGAGAGAGGGACAAAGACCAAGAGAGAGAAAGTGAGAGAGAGCGAAAGAGAGAGAAGAGAAAGAGAGACAAAATGAGGGACAGAAAAAGAGAGAGAGAGAGAGGAGAACAAAAAACAAGAGAGAGAGATGGGGAGAAAGAGAGAAGGAGCCAAGAGGCAGATCACACAGCGGGAGAGAAAAACAGAGCTCACCGAAGATTCTAGAGGTGCCGCAGTTCAGAAACTAGATGAAGGATCCTTTCCCATTTCTAAGCTATAGAGATAGTCCCCAACCTCTACAGGACCAAATTTAGATTGCTAAGTGAAACATTCGTTAAGTGGGTCTTGGTCCCATTTTATGAGCTTTCTTGCCACATTTGTTAACTGAATCATGCAGTTGCTCAGTTAGTAACGCTTTTGTTGGGTTAATTCATTGCCCGTCCCACCCACAGACCCTCCACTCACGCATCCAGAGGTAGTAAAGACGCTTGACCGTGGTTCTGTGAAGGGGTGGAATTTCCTCGTCGAAATCCTGATAAAAACATGGCTTCAGGGGGATGAAGTGGGGCAGAGGGGGGAAATTGTTCACTCTTTCTGCAAGAAAAGCAAAAAAGTCATTTTTTTGGGGGTGGGAATGCGGTTCTCTCTTCCCAAACTGAAACGCAAGAGAGAATCCTGAGCAGTTATCTAAGATAAGAAAGAAAAAAAAAACCCCAACATTTTGTATGCTATAGAGGTAGTCCTCCACTTATGACCGTAACTGAGCTCAAAATGTCTGTTGCTGAGCGAGACATTGGTTCAATGAATTTTGTCCCGTTTTACGACCTTTCCTTGCCACAGTCGCTAAGTGAATCCCTGCAGTTATGACGTTAGTCACACGGTCGTTAAATGAATAGGTCACAAAAAGGGAATCACGTGACACCCCCCCCTCAGGACACTGCCACCGTCATAAATATGAATCAGTGGCCGAGGGTCTCTGAATTCTGATCATGTGGCCATGTGGATGCTGCAACGGTCATTAAGTGTGAAAAACGGTCAGAGGTCGCTTTTTTCAGGGCTGTTGTCACTTTGAACAGTCACTAAACAAACTGTTGTAAGTCGAGGAGTCCCTGTATGCTGTCAGGTGGAGAGACAAGGTCCACATATCAAATTCCAATTAAACTGATCGATTGCTAAAAGCCTTTGTGCAGGAATCTTCTCCACTCAACAATTAGCGCTTGCTTAGAGTTAGATAAGAGTCCACAGAATTCAGGAAGGGTGGAATTTAGTCTCTTTGTGACTACAGTAGTGGCCAAAATAGTGGAAACCTTTTGCGGAAAGTGTATTTTTGAGATTTGATGGCTAATAACACCACTTTTTTGGGGGGGAGTTTCAAGAGAATCCTATTCCACTGCTGGAATGGCCTGGGAATAGCCCAGACCTTCATCCAATTGAAAATCTACGGAGCCGACTAAAGAAACTGGTTAGTTGGAAGCAACCCAGCAATAAAACCCAGTTAATAGAAGCCATCATTCCATCTTGGTTTCACATTTATAACAGCTACAGAACTAAAAGACTCGGTTCGCTCCATGGGAAGACGTTGTAAGGCCGTCATTCATGCTAAAGGTTACCCAACTAAGTATTAACTGACGTGGGGATCATTTTTGTATATCTCGTTTTTTCATATGGTGATCATTTTGCATATCTCGTTTTTTTCTACGTGTTTCCCTTTTCTTCTTTATACTGTAACTGCTATTCTAACAGCAAATCCTTCCTAAAAGTGATTGCATCATATTCTTGATTGAATTACCTTTCCATTGATATATAATTTTATGGTACTAGTCCCAAAAAAGTGACGTTATTAGCTAGTTTTAGAAAATACACTTTTCCCAAAAGGTTTCCACAATTTTGGCCACTACGTAGGGATTCTAGGCAAATCCCTCTTTTAACGCCACTTCTTCAGAGGCAAAGTTACTGCTCAGGTTAAATAAAGCCTTGACGTTCCCAAATTTTGCTCAAAGCATCAATCCTTTGCACAACGTTTGCCTTAATTTTTTTTTTTTAGATTTCTTGTAAAATCCTTCCTTTATTATTTTTATAAATAACTAAATAGCGGTAAACGTACCCAATACTCCTTCCTAATTTCCTCATAACATTACAAGATTACCATACAAGGAAATTTATCGTTCACTTACCTCCCATGGTGTTTCCTTGTCTTTAAAGTATTGTGTATTGCGCAGAATAATTCTCAGGTCACCACCGAAGCTGAAGTAGAAACAAAGGGGTGGATAGTGTCGTTATAACATTGAGCCACTAGAGGGCATTAGTTTGGTTTGCGCCCCTGGATATTTTTATGGCCTCTTCGAGAAACAAGGCTGGGTAAGACCATATTAGAGATGCCGCCTGATAATAGAGTTCCCATTCTGGTAAGCCAACGCCTCCTTTTTTCCTACTATCTTGTAATAGTTTGAATTTGATACGTGGTTTTTTTCCCCCTGACCATATGAACTTCTATGTTTATTGTTCGGGAAAAAAAATTCCCAATTTTATTGGTACCGTTTGAAAAAGATAAAGTAACTTGGGTAATATGTTCATTTTAATTGTCGAAATTCTGCCAATTAATGATATTGGTAATTTGGTAGTCCTTTAATTCGGAATGGAGTCAGGGCAACTGGTTGGAGATACTCACTGGCTTAGGGTCATTTCTAAACTGAGCCAAAGGCTGTTTAGGCAGTCATCACCCAACGTGATCCTGCCACCACAGTTAATTTTCAACTATGTTTTGAAGGTCAGCTTCCCTTTTTTCTCTGGACAACATCGAACAGGAGAGCCTCTGCATCGAAAATAATATATATATTTACACCCCTTCTTCTATTTGAGAAGGGCCTTTTCACCGGCACTCTAAATTTAAATCTAGACTCACATCATGGAACTAAACACCCCCTGGAGCTTACTCAATGCAGGTGACAAATACGTCATTTGCCTCAGAGTGAGTAAAAGGTGAGGCCAGCCCGGAGTGGAGATCATCAGCACCTACTGGCTACTCTTAGGTTCCCAATTTTACTAGGGCGTCCAAGGTGGGTTTGTGAGCATCCCTAGGTCAGAGGGGGTCTCCAATCTTGGCAACTTTGAAAGACTGGTGGACTTCAATTCCGCCAGCTGGCTGAGGCATTCTGGGAGTTGAAGTCCACCAGTCTTTCAAAGTTGCCAGGGTTGGAGACCCCCCCCCTCCCGCTCCCACTCCCTGTCCTAGGTGAAATCAGGCCTTCCTGGAGGAAATTGGTCCTTGGCTCTTCTCCGGTAGAGCCCAAAGGGTGGTCTTTAGCAAGACACTGGGGTTGTTTATTTCAGCACCTTTGCGTCCTCCGGCGAGGAAAATGGCAGAGAAGGAAGAGAGAAGAGCAGATCTTCCCTTAATCCTGCTAGCTAGTCAAATCTCCTGCTGGCTTGTCCCTCTGGCTTCTGAATGAATGAATGAATGAATGATCTTAGATCCTATCAGGGCTAAGAACTGCAGGGAGGAGGAGGAAGAGGAGGAGGAGGAGGAGGAGGAGGGAGCCTCCATCAACTATTTGCGGTTGTCGGGAAGGATAAGGGGGAGGGGGATTCATCCCAGGGTTCCTAAGGAAGATGAGCCGATCTGTCGATCCGCTGAGCCACTGGATCACTTCTGCTGGGAGGGGGGAGAAAGTGGGGGGGGAAGACCCCTTTCCAAAGGCCTCTCTCTCCGAAAGGCTGGCCAGCAAAGGTTCTGCGATCCTCCCATCCTCCCCAGCCGCCTCCCGGCTCTCCAATGCGGAGGAGGAGGGCCGCTTTTCCCTGCCCCCCACCCTCCCACCTCCAGCCGGCCCTATAAAAGACTCACCACAGATGGCCGCTCTTGGCTCACCCCCCCCCGGATCCCGGTCTCCACAGCCTTCGCCTCCCTCCCTCGCCCGTCCGCCGGCTCGCCCGCCCGCCCGCCGGCGCCTGCCCGCTACTGCAGCGCTGAGGCTCTCGCGAGGATCGGCCGTTTTGGTTCCCCGCGCCGGCGGGCGGCTGTCTCCGGCGGCGGGGCGAGCGCAGGCGGAGCGAAGCGGAGCTCTCGGCGCTGTCCAGGGTGCTGACGCGCTCGGGAGGGGCGGAGGGGCGGGGCTTGCCAGGGGAAAGGGGGCGGGGCTTGTGGGCTTGTTTACCGGATTTCCAATAACAAGGACAGGGGTTGAGTGGGGGGTCTTCAAGTAGAAAGCTGGGGGAGGAATAAATGATCTATTTCCCACCCTCCTGATTTTCCACCCAAGAGCTTGAAGTTTTGGCATCTGCCAGTTGGCTTGGGTCTCTAATAATGGGGGAATATCATACCCCGGAGCTATGCTATGCAATTTGGGTTGAAGACCCTTTCAATGGTGTGGGAGTATGGACGGATTTCCGGGGGTGGGAGAATTGCAGACGACAGGGACCATTAGCGCTACTCAGGTGACCCTGAGGACACAGACATACCTCCAGCTGGCCTCAACAGGCTCTCTGAATTGAGGACCTGTATCCTGCAGGAGTCAAAAAAATATGTGAAAATATCTACAGACCCCTCGCATCCTGGACATAAACTGTTTCAACTCCTACCCTCAAAACGAGCACTGCACACCAGAACAACTAGACACAGGGACAGTTTTTTCCTGAACGCCATCACTCTGCTAAACAAATAATTCCCTCAACACTGTCAAACTATTCATTAAGTCTGCACTACTATTAATCTTCTCATCGTTCCCACCACCCATCTCCTCCCACTTAGGACTGTATGACTGTAATTTTGTTGTTTGTATCCTTACGATTTATATTGATATTGTTTCCTGATTGCTTATTTGTACCCTATGACTATCATTAAGTGTTGTACCTTATTTATTTATTTATTGATTGATTGATTGATTTTTTAAATTTTTATACCGCCCCCTCTCCGGAAGGACTCGGGGTGGTGAACAGCCAAGATTTAAAAACATACAATATAAACATTAAAATACATTTAAAACAAAATTAAATCCCTAATGGCTTTCCCAAATTTAAAACCCCTTACCCATAAAATTCACCAATAAAAAATTTATGATTCTTGATGAATGTATCTTGTCTTTTATGTACACTGAGAGCATGTGCACCAAAGACAAATTCCTTGTGTGTCCAATCACACTTGGCCAATAAAGAATTCTATTCTATTCTATTCTATTCTTATGATTCTTGACGAATGTATCTTTTCTTTTATGTACGCTGAGAGCATATGCATCAAAGACAAATTCCTTGTGTGTCCAATCACTCTTGGCCAATAAAGAATTCTATTCACTTCGCCTAAAAGGATGCAAATGACCAGCTGTCTGTGAGGAGTATAAATCCTTCCCTTCCCCACCATCCTGTCAGAGCTGAAGAAGCTTCTTGGAGGAGAAGTGAAATATCTTAAAAAGAAAAAAAAGAAGAAAGTCCGGTTGCATCCTGAAAAAGCAGCTTTGGGACACACCAGAGGTGGTTGGCCGATTACCCCTTTCCCTAAACATTCTTGCTTCCTTTCCTTCCCATCTTTAGTTATAGCTTGTATTTCATTGCAATTTTAAGGTGATTCTATATACAGGGAGTCCTCAACTTACAACCGCAATGGAGCCCCAGGTTTCTGTCACTAAGTGAGACATTCATTGAGTTTCCCCCCCATTTTAGGACTTTTTCTTACCACAGATGTTCAGTGAATCACCACCGTTGTTAAGTTGATAAAACGGTTGTTAAGTGAATCGGGCTTCCCCATGGACTTTGCTCATCGGAAGGTCGCAAAAAGGGATCATGTGACCCCCCCCGGGACACTTCAACCGTCATGAGTCAGTTTCCAAGACTTTGAATTTTGATCATGAGGATGCTGCAAGGGTGTGAAAAACCATCCATAAGTCGCTTTTTTTCAGTGCAGTGGTAACTTGGGTCATTAAATGAACTATTGTAAGTTGAGGATTACTTGTATATAATAATAATAATTATAATAATAACTTTGTTGTCATTGTACGTGTATACACAGTATACCCATACAATGAAATTCACTTAACACCTGAAGACCAGGTCCAACACACATAACAATCCCCAAACACACTCCCACCCACCACAAATTCCCCACCCCTAAACCACCCAAACATCCACACAACAGACCAAGTAATGCTGCCCAACAGGTCACTGATGGTGGCCCTTTAGTTCATGGTTGAGTGCAATTATAGCTCTGGGATAAAAACTATTCAGAAGACGTGTGGTCCGAGTTTTAATTGTTCCGTATCTTCTGCCAGAAGGCAACAGTCGAAAAAGATTGTAAGCAGGATGGGAAGAGTCTCTGAGAATGTTACGCAACTTCCTCAAACAGCGAGATGCGAAGATGTCGTCCAGGGCTGGTAGCTGGAGTCTGATGATATTCTGGGCAGTTTTAATGATTCTCTGTAGAGCTGTGTGTGTGTGTGTGTGTGTGTGTGTGTGTGTGTATATTTATGTGTAGGGAGAGAAAGAGAGAGAGAGAGGGATGACACAGAGAGAGAAGATAGATAGATAGATAGATAGATAGATAGATAGATAGATAGATAGATAGATAGATACATAGATACATAGATACATAGATACATAGATACATAGATACATAGATACATAGACAGACAGAGATAGGGATAGATTGATGAGAGAGAGAGATGATATATAGATATATGGGATAAATAGATAGATAGATAGATAGATAGATAGATAGATAGATAGATAGATAGATAGACAGATAGATAGATATAAAGACAGACAATAGATAAGATAGATAAGAGAGCGAGAGAGAGATAAAGACAGATGATAGATAAGAGAGATAAGAGATAAGAGATAGATAGATAGATAGATAGATAGATAGATAGATAGATAGATAGACAGGCAGATAGATAGATGATAGATAGATAGATAGATAGATAGATAGATAGATAGATAGATAGATAGATATAGGTATCTATAGGTATCGATATATATATAGAGAGAGAAAGAGAGATGTTTATTGTAATGTCGTAAGCAGCCCAGAGTCGCCTGGTGAAGGTCTCCTTGTGACCACTAGGTGGCAGACGTTACTTCCTTCATTCACTTTCTTACTCTGCATTACTTACTCAATTATTTATTCAAGGAGAACATGTAGTCCTCGACTTACGATGACAATTGGGACCAGAATTTCCATTGCTAAGCAAGGCGATGAGTTGCACTCGATTTTACAACCCTTTTTGCCGCCGTTGTTACGTGAATCACGCAATCGTAAACCAATCCAGATTTTCCCCCAGTGGACATTGCTGGTTGGAAACTGGCTGGGAAAATTGGAAAATGGGGATCAGGTGACACTCACACACCCCAGGATGCCGCAACCATCATAAATACATGCTAGTTGCCAAACATTTGAATTTCAATCATGTGAAAAATGGTCATAAGTCACTTTTTTAAGTGCCGTTACAACTTCGGTCACTGAACGAATAGTTGTAAGTCAAGGACTACCTGTATATGTTGGATGCATGTGTTGTATGAGCCTTCCTCAACCTAGAACCTTCCCGGTGTTGGGATTCTCTCCTCCCGCATTGTCGACCATGGCCAGAGAAATGTCATGGACGACATTTGTCTGAAATGGTTTAGGGCTTCCTGTTTGAACAGCGGGGGTGGACTAGAAGACCTCCAAGGTCCCCTTCAACTCTGTAAGTCTGTTGTTCCATTATTCTGCCAAGAGGGCTACCAACTGCTCTGTCTGGGACTCAGCAAGAGCGTATTCAACGGCCTCTCAGTGCAACCTTAGACGGAGATCCAAGGGCTGATGCCAGTCACAGATACAAAGGCACCAGGTGCCCAGTGCCAATGCTTCTGTATCGGATGCGCCAACTTTCCATATTGCCCTGATAAAAAGGACGGGAGGGATGGAATGGAAGGAAACGGGGAGGGTTAGTGATCTGGTTACAGTATACTGCTCTTTTTGGCTAGGTTTTCAACTGATAATATTTCGAGTTGAGTCTTTCGTGCATCTTAGTTATTATAGCAGCAGGGAAGGGAGGGAGGGAGGGAGAGAGAAAAGGAAAGGAAAGGAAAGGAAAGGAGGGGAGGGGAGGGGAGGGGAGGAAAGGGAAGGGAAGGGAAGGGAAGAAGGAAAGGAAAGGAAAGGAAAGGAAAGGAAAGGAAAGGAAAGGAAAGGAAAGGAAAGGAAAGGAAAGGAAAGGAAAGGAAAGGAAAAGAAAGGAAGGGAAGGGAAGGGAAGAAGGAAAGGGAAGGGAAGGGAAGGGAAGGGAAGGGAAGGGAAGGGAAGGGAAGGGAAGGAAAGGAAAGGAAAGGAAAGGAAAGGAAAGGAAAGGAAAGGAAAGGAAAGGAAAGGAAAGGAAAGGATCATAGCAAGAAAAAGTTTTTTTTAAAAAAAAAACAAAACCCTAAATATAAGAAAGAAAACACTGCTATTCCATGAAATTTATTAAGCGATGTGACGGAATTTGTTAAAACTTGTCTGAAACATCTGAATCTCAGTTCATGAGTTTGGTCCTATTTAAGGTTGGGAAAAGTAACAGTTTGTCTCAAAGTTCCTCCTGCTTCCATCTTAAAAATGAACGGGGTGTGTCTCTGTTGTGTATGTGTGTGTATATTTGTGTGCAAAACTTGGCAGCAGAGATGCCAATTTTTTGCTCAATTCCATCCCCATAATCTAGGGCAGCTTTGAGGCCAACTCTGGCCTGAAATCCCCGAGAATCAGCTTTTGCCATAGTTTGGAGACCCCAAGTGGGAAGAGATAGATACTAGTAAGGAAGAGAAGAATATTAGTAATACAGACTTAGTGAATATTTTGATAGTGTTGAGGGAATTATTTGTTTAGCAGAGTGATGGCGTTTGGGAAAAAACTGTCCTTGTGTCTAGTTGTTCTGGGGTGCAGTGCTCTATAGCATCGTTTTGAGGGTAGGAGTTGAAACAGTTTATGTCCAGGATGTGAGGGGTCTGTAAATATTTTCACAGCCCCTTTTTGACTCGTGCATTCTGCCTTTTATCATATTTCCCAAAATATTTCATTCTTCTAGGAGAGGGGCGGGTGCTAACTTTCTACAATACCATCCAGTTT